GGGGACTATGGCTCTGCGCCATGGCAGTTATGCCATGGAGTGCCGCAGGGGTCCATTTTGTCCCCATTGCTGTTCAACATTTACATGAAACCGCTGGGAGAGGTCATCAGGAGGTGTGGGCTGCGGAACCATCAGTACGCTGATGATACCCAGCTCTACCTCTCGTTCTCCACCAATCCAGGTGAGGCAGTGGCTGTACTGAACCGGTGCCTGGCCGAGGTAATGGGCTGGATGAGGGCCAATAAACTGAAGCTCAATCCAGACAAGACAGAGGTCCTGTTGGTTGGTGGTTCTGGCTTTGGAGAGGGTGAACTGAACCTTGTTCTGAATGGGGTTGCACTCCCTCTTAGGGACAAGGTTCGCAGCTTGGGAGTGCTCCTCGACCCGGAGCTTTCACTAGAAGCTCAGGTGACCGCAGTGGCGAGGAGCGCTTTCCTCCAGCTTTGGCTGATCCATCAGCTGCGCCCCTATCTGGAGTATGACTGCCTCGCGACAGTGACACATGCATTGGTGACTTCCCGTCTCGACTTCTGTAACGCGCTCTACGTGGGGCTACCCTTGAAGACGGTCCGGATACTTCAACTGGTTCAAAACAGAGCTGCCAGGCTGCTGACGGGGACTGGGCGTTGTGTTCACATGACTCCAGTTCTCCGTCAGCTTCACTGGCTTCCCATTGAAGTCCGGGCCCAATTCAAGGTGTTGGTGATGACCTATAAAGCCCTAAACGGCTTGGGTCCTGGTTACCTGAAGGAGCACTTGCATCCATATATGCCCAGCCGCCCCTTGAGATCGGTGGGGGAGGCCCTTCTTCGGGAACCCTCCATGAAAGAAATTAGGAGGGTGGGTGCTCGGAGGAGGGCTTTCTCTGCGGTGGCGCCTAATTTATGGAACGCGCTCCCCAGAGAGGTCCGCCTGGCGCCGTCGTTATTTGTTTTTCGGCGCCAGGCGAAGACCTTTTTATTCAAGCGGCATTTTAACTGTTAACATTATTGGTTTTATCTGGCCAGGGCGGCTTATTTTATACTGTACTGCTGTATTTTAATTTTATATTTATAGTTTAATTTATATTATAATTATTTTAACTTAAATATGTGAGCCGCCCCGAGGCTTCGGCGAATGGGGCGGCATAAAAATGTTTTAATAAATAAATAAATAAATAAATAAATAAATAAATCAAATACTCCGAGGCAAGCTGTCAGGGCAATCACCAAACGCATTTGCAAAGGCCAGGGAAGAGCACAGCTGCTAACTGCCTGGGCTGCATTCCTCTCCCTCCTTCCATCACCATATTTCTCTACCTTACACTGATATGGTTCTGCCAAGATTCCTCCACTTGTTCCAATATCCTCCCTCCCAGGCACAGACTCTATGATGGGAGCAAATCCCCCACCAAGGATCTAACTTCAAGTCCTGTATCCTGCATGACACCTCCAAGACTTCTATGTGACTTTACACTAGTGATGCCTAGTAATATGAAACAGGAATTGCAGCACTTTAGGAATTACTATGAGACATATGCATCCTCATGTCTAGTCAGGTCTGATAGATGGCTTACTTGTTTATTTCACACTATATGAAGAAATAAAGCCAAGGAATATAAGAAGACTTATGACTAATCATCAATAAACAGTAGGTCAGCTGTATCATAATTCACAAATAGTCTGGGTGATTCAGTTCCATATAATCTTACTACAATACTTATTAGCCATAAGAAAACAAATAGAAAATGTTCCTTGAGTGCATTTGACAACTATTTAAGTGCAAATATCATTTTTAAAACATAACCTCCTGGACATGTTATTATCAGGCTGCAATCCTGTGCACACCTACCTGGAAGTAAACCACCCAGGTTAAAATGGGAGTTTCTTCTCCATAAATAGGCATAGAATTATAATGCAAGTCATGTCATGCAACTTGATCGTATCTGTGCATGTTTACTTAAAAATAACTTTCATTAATTCTAGTGGAGCTTAATCCCAGGTAAATGTGCCTGTGACTAGCCTTGCAGCTGAGTCATATGCATGCTGCTTATAGCTCAGAAGTCTCACTGAGTTCAGTGGGGGTTAGTCCCATGTGGACGTGCACAGGACTGCAGGATTACAACCACAATTCTTTGCACTTACTAGGGGATATGAAGGGTTGAACACCATGGAAACTTCCAGGTAGGCAGATATAGGTTTGTGCTGTTAAAGTACCTTCTGAAAAGGCTAAAATGCTCGGGGCTTTTAATATTTCAAGAGTGTAAATCTCAGTGAACATAGTAGAATTTAGTTAGGAGTAAATGTGCATAGGATTGCACTGGAAGTAACGAATAGGTCTAGTTTAAGGAAAGAAGCTACTAACCCTAACAGCAGATCAGAGAACTATGAGGCTCAGGATCCATTTGAGTGTGCTTCTGGACACAGTCTGGATGCCCAGGATTCAGAAGAACCTTAAGGGTATGCTTACATAACTGGGGCTAATACACAAACAGCACCCATTCCTAGAGGTCCCTGATCTAATCATATCATGCCTGTTTTAGTTTCATCCCATTTGGATTACTGAAATGCACTCTATATTGACCTGCCTTCAAAAATTGTTGAAATTTTTTATTTGTTCCAGAATACTATGGCTTGACTATTGACCATGGCTGGTTAGAGGCAGCATGTGCCTCTCTTGTTTCCCATCTAAAAAAGTGCTGGTTATGACATATAAAGCCCTATAGGGCTTGGGACCAGGGTACATAAAAGACTATCTTCTCCCATACAAGTCTGTCTGGGTCTTAAGATTGCCGGAAAAGTCCCTTCTTTCCAGACCACCACCTTCAAAGATGGTGATGTGAAAGAGAGCATTTTTGGTGGCCACATACAGGCTGTGCGGCTAGATTTTCTCCCTCTCTTCTATCCTTCCACTAGCAGGCAAACACCTTTTTATTCAAGCTGGCCTTTGACATGTCGGTGTTCCTGCTGGGTAGGATGTTCTTTTTTCTGTTGTTGTTATGTTTTTAATTGTGTTTTAATGCACTAGTTTTATTATTGTTGTTTCCATCATGTTGTATTTATGATCTTAAGCCATACAAATCAAACAAAAATAATAGAAACGTCACCAGTTGCATTTCAGCAACATTTCCCTTTGTTTTTAGTTAAGGAAGATGTTAAAGTTTAAGTGGGGCATTATGTGAAAATAAATTAATAGTCAGAATTTTGGTAAAGTCCAATATAGTCACAATTATAGATTATAATTATTAGATTATATGGATTAGACTATGTATGTTCTTGTATAGCGTATTTATTGGATTTCAGATGAATTTCAAGCCTACTGTATATTAGGCACACTAACTTGCATTCCTTTCTTAGCATTAGGCTCAAGAACAGCAATGGGAGAGAAAAGATAATGGAATTTCTTGTGTTTTTTAAGTTGTAGGCTGGCGCCCTCTTGTGATAGTTCACAATCACAAACAATAGAAATCTTCAAGGCATGCTCTCATTTTCTATAGAAAAATCAGACATAACTTCCAGTCAATTAAAATCTAGTAAAGAAGGTATCACAATCAAAATAGAAGAAATAGAAACATTCAGAAGTTGTAAGTTTAAAAAATAATAATAATCTCTTTCTACTTGACTAACCCCTGATCACTTCAGCTGCAGGCTACATTGTCCCTCTGTCATCATTAGGTGCTATGACAACTGAAAGTCAAAGAAATGCTGTATTGTGCAACAATGAAATCCACATGTTTTATACTTCTGCTCCTTTTCTGAACCTTCTCATTCAGTTGTATGATGATTTCTATGCTATATGCATTTATCTCACTGAGTTCCATGGGCTTATTTCCAAGTAAACAGGCATCGCATTGGAACTTTAACTTCCTGCACCCTCTCATTTTCAAAACTCCAGTCAGACATTCCAGATTTTTAAACAAATTATTAAATCATATCTCATGCCACATGTGGACCCACTAAATATGGGGCTTGGGAGTATACCAGATTAAATTCAATTACATACTGTATACAGTATAAATTCAGTTTTGCACTGAACTGCATATATGCTAAAGAATCAGAAGCATTTGAAAACATGTTTATTCATATAGGAAGAGCATATAGAAAGAGCTTATTCATACATGCAGAGCATAGAACATCTTTACATTATTGAGAAAACCCTTAAAATAATGAGATACATAAAAGTAAAATTCATAACGTTTAAAACAGTAAAAGTCGTCATCGTATGTAGCTTTATTATGTATGCTGCAACTTCCTTTGAACTGTAAAGAAAATGTATGAAATGTTTGGCTGAGGCTTATCTGACAATGCTTCAGGCCATTCAGTCTAATCTAATACATACTAATTTTGGAAATAAGTTTTATTGAGTTCATTAATCACCCACTTTGCTTATATACAGACTATCATGTTGTTGGGATGCAGGTTGTAATTACTGCTATAAATTGACCAATTATCAGAGGAACTATCTAGCAAATATGTTAAGGATTGCACTCTTGGTCTATGAACAGGTTTCTAGAGGGACAATCATAGATTGTTTCTAATGTTAGTTTTACTTAGCATAGACCCATTGAAATGAATGGATCCTCAGTTAGACTAGCGTTGGATTCAACCTCATCAGTTGTTGTAGGAAAAACAACCTAGACGGATTTATACTGAAGTTCTCGAACCTGCTGCCTGCCCTCCGACAGCTCCCGGGAACCATCCATAATAGCAACAAAATGCGTTCTACGAATGTGGTGACCCTCCTATCCTACAGAGGGCGCTACTTGCGGTTTTCCTTGCTGTCATTGTACCTCTTTGATAAAGCTCGTAGACCCGATGGAGGGCGGAGCGGTCCTGAGTGAGGGCGCATGCGCATACAACTTCATTCCTTGCTTGTTTGTCTATTGTTCCGCGCTCCCCGCCATGAATGCGGAGAACTTTCAGACCAGCGAGAAGCTGGTGAACGCGGCCTACGTGCGACAGGGCGCTCAAGGACGTCGCGCGCACGAGCTCCGCCTGCGGACTCTACTGGAACAGGTAAAACCGGCGCGAACGACTTTTCCAGCTCGGTGGGAGGAACCGAGAGCTGCGCCTCCAGAGCCCCGCCCCCGCCAGCCTCAGGCCACGCCTCCCGAGCGCGCTTACTCTGGATTGCTGGAAAGCCAGCAGAAGAGACGCGAAAGGGTCCTTGCGCCTCTCTGGCCTTTTAAGTTTTTATCTATTACGGATACTTCCTACCTTTTCTTTAATTAGCGCAAGGTGGTTTACATTGTATTCCTCCCCGCAGTTTTATCCTCAAAGCAACCCTGTGCGGTAGCTTATGCTGAGAGACGAGGACTGGTTTCATAACCGAAGAGATTTGAATTTGGACTCCTCGGCTGTAGTCAGCACACTAACTGTGCAGGAAGGAAAACAAAGGAGGGCTAAAGGTGGCCCAACTGGTTGCCCACTGCATGTGTTCTCCAAAGATGCCTGATTTCAGCTCTCGGGCAGCATGGCTGTGGTGTGAGGAATTAAGAGTCCAAAGCATCTGGAGGGAAGGTCGTGCTAAGCTGTGGTTTAGTGTTATGTGCAAGGGTAGCCAGGATCAACATACTAATTGTGAAACTGAAGACTTTGCTAACCTCCTGCTTTTGAATAGGTTTTCCTATTATCTTTGTAAGCTAAGATTACAATGAACCAATTCCATTTAAGAAAATGCCTTCATTCAGATGGCCTGTTCCATATAAAACATGTAATAGGCTTATGCTCTCCTTCATCTTTCCCTCTTGTGTATGAATTTCCCACTGTGATTTGCTTCAATCACAGTTTAGCATTGTCTTGGGGTTAACTACATTTACCTATATCCAGGATCATATCAGCAGTCATAGAAAGGAAATCAATTTCAAAGCAGAGTTTGATGTTATAGTTCCAGACAATCTGGGCTAACTCTTTAAGTGTAGTTGGTGAAAATTAAAATGCAATGTGAAGGCCGAACTCATGCACACTTATCTGAGAGTCTCAGTGGGAAATCAGGGCTGGGAAATCTGTATCTGAGAAATCTATTTTTGAGTAGCCTGCTTTGTATTCCCAGTCTCCAAATCATGGGCATAACATCTGAAATGGACCAAAACTGCAATGCACCAAGGTAAATAATATAGGTATCTTTCTGCATAAAACTATATAGCATCCCTGAGTGAAATCCAGTGCAGTTTTCTGCAGGAAAAAACTACCTCTGTCAGTAGTACCAGAAAGGGTGCAGAACCATCTGCAGACCTTCAAAATCTCCAGAGGGTTGGGGATTTTCTCCAGCAGATTTACAGGTGGCCATAGGGGTAAAGAGACAGGGGGCACTCCCATTGCACAAGTGGACTTACATTCATACAGTGTTGGCTTCTGTTTCATGAGTTAAAAGAGCAGCTTGGTGCATGGAGAGTGGAAACATGAGGTGAAGAAGGTGACACAGAAAACAGCTGTGTTTTAGTCATTCCTCCCTTGCATTCTAAGTTAGTGCAGATTGCTTGTATGTTGGAGTTCTGCATCCCAGTACAGAGAAGAGATGATATGGGTAGAAGCAGGTTTTTTGGCCAGCAGAAAGGGCTGTGCCAGAGTGAGGAATACAGAACACCTGGATTCTGTATGTGATGCTACTGAGATATTGGCAGCAAACTCAGCATCAGTCGTCTCTTGTGAGAGTGGAGGGGGATGTCTGCTGAGATCATTTTTGCTGCATATACTTTCAGAGAAGTACGAAGTCTCTGCAAATCCAGCAGTGAACCCAACATTCTGCTGTGCTCCATTCCTTGGACTGGAGCCTTATTCTACGGGATTTTTTATGACATTCCCATAGAGTGATAAACACCAGGGCTCCAATCCAGTTAAACAGCATTAGTCATAACTAAATCCCTTGGAAAACAGTAACTAAACTTAGTTCAGTTGGGTTTCAAAATTATACTACTGGCACAGCTTTGCAAATTTGACTATCCTGATAAACTGACCTTTGTTCAGAGTTTTCTTCCAAGTACACCAAGTTGCAGATTGCTATTATGTGGATAGCTTAATCATTGGAGACACTTCATACTCCTTGCAATCAGGTATTTTCCAGTTGAGAACCTGAATGCTTAACATTACCTAATTCTAGCCTCATTTAGTAAACAAAACATGTATGTTTGAATGGTATTGTATTTAATTGTGCTGTCTTTTGAAGGGCAAGTGTCCTGAAGATGGATGGGATGAAAGCACTATTGAACTTTTTCTTCATGAACTTGCAATTATGGATAGCAATAATTTTCTGGGCAATTGTGGTGTGGGTGAAAGGGAAGGACGAGTTGCATCAGGGCTAGTAGCCCGCCGGCATTACAGGTAAATGCTCCTTTTTCAAGTTGCTTGCATTTTTATTAGCAGTATGATAGAAACAAATATCACAGTGAAGTCAAGATTGTTTCACTTAAAACAGAAGTCTGGCACTTGAATCCTGTTTATTGTCCAATCCTAAATTTTGGTATGCTATTTTTAGAGTGGGTTCGTACCACTCACTTCACTACTACTGTATCACAAACTGTGGTTTCGCAATGATGTGGCTGTCATTGTGTACCACTGAAACCACTGGGATTGCAGATAAAATATGTTGAAGTTACGTGAATTTCAGTTTGCTTTTTAACCATTCATAAATATCTGAAAAGTGTATACCTTTAAACAGGAAGAGAAACAAGTTTCTTCATCAAAATTTGCTCTTTTGTCCATTGTGAAAGACCTAGTGAGAAATACTCAGCAGCTGAGAAATACTTACGGACTTGGTTTGCATGTCACACCTGCCAGAATCAGGAATTCAGGAGGGAGGGAGGGTTCCAGCTGCTGCTCACCCACTCCTGCAGGACTAAATGACTAAGGATGCTCCATCCCTGAGTTGCTCACTGTGATCTTGAAACCTGAAATCTTGAGGAGAACATCCTAAACTTGAAACCCAAGAATAAGCTATGGGTTACATGTCTGGGTAGCCCTCCCCTAACAACCCACAATTCTGTGTTGGGGCATCACAAAACAAGCCAGGGAAGGAAGTCCTTGGGTTGTTTCACACAGTGAAAATGGGGACAGGCGCTAGTATGCTTATTCCTCCTTGTTTAATGATGTGTGAACTGGGTCATGGTCTTCCTTATAGTGCATGTTGATCAGTGTTGCTAATAATTCAATGAGTGTATCATTCGGCATAGACACTTCCTTCTTCCCATTTCAGATGATGCAGCAGACAAAGTTGATCCCATTTTAGGGGCATAATTACACATACTTCTGCTGTACTTTGTTTCCTTGAACGAACAATACGAGCTAGTTCGTGGTTCCTATAAAGAAAGACCATGATCTCATACACGTCCTCATACAGGACCTTTATTTATTTATTTTTTTTAAAGATGTTGCATTCCTCATGAGTAGATCAGTAGGTAAGGGTTGTTTTTGTGCATCTGAGTGCTTGTGAAGCACTTCTTTGTAAGATAAAAATCCAAACTTTATTACTTTGCTTTTATGTTAACAAATATTAGCTTAGTGAAATTGAATTTTGGGGTGAAGAAACAAATGATGTATTCTTCTTCTCCACTTCAACTTAATTAGTTTTACAATGGAACATTTACCCTTCACTAGTACACTAATCAGAATTTTGTCTCTCCCATATATTAAAGCAAAAACATACTGAACATCAGTTACATGCAGAGATATTGAATTATGCAAGCTGCATTTTTAAATGACCCTTATGACAGATTAATTGCTGTTAACATGAATAAAAGCCCATTAAAATGGATTTTATTCAAATGAAGCAGAGTTTATAGGCAAACTCAGTTTCTAATAGCTTGAAGTCTTAGGTCATCTGGCACTTCACTGGGCTACTTTATAATTTAAAGATGCCCCAGACAATGCATTTTCAAAGATTTGGGGTAGCATCCAATGATGTCCTTCTAGAAACTCAGATAGAAGTAGCAGAGTTTCACTGAGTCTACCTGTTGCAGAAGTGGTTGCCCATTATGATGCACAGCAGGTTGCACAAGAGTAATGTGCAAGAGGTTGTGCAGTGGATTGTACAGTGGGCTACACAAGAGTTAGACACAACTGATTGCATAAACATAATGTGCTATTGTCTGAATAGACACAACTACTTGGGTTTTCTCCTGTGTATTGTTCAGAAGTCAGGGCATCATTTGTGCTAATAGAATGACACAGTGAGATACCATTCATACTTATTTTACTATTCCAAAAAGTATGTTTTGTTGTTTCACCAGTCATGGCAGCGGAGTAAGATCTCTGGTTCTTAAAGTGTTGGAACAGTTGTATGCAAGACTTTATGTAGAATAATATAGAGATTCACAGCTTTTGGCATGACTTACTAGCCAGCCAAAATATAGTCATCACCACTTACTTCTTAGGTGGGAGACATGTTGATTATATGATAAATGAGTTGGGTTGGGTGAGGAGAGGAATTGGTTCCCCTTCACATGGTGGTTTGCAATATATATATATAGTGCTGGAGACCTACCCTATGTGAAACAAAATAAGATAATCAGGTGCCAGCCAATTATCTAGCATGCACTGAAGATTTGAACATGTCATCTTATGGAGCACTTCCGAGAAGGCAAAGAGTGGTATGAGGGACTTGCAATATCTAGGAAATGTTTAAGTCCCACTTATGTTGTGACACTCCAGCAGCTGTTAGAGCATTCTACTGGAGAAGTGGAGAGAAAACCTAGACGGATCTCCCATGTATGCTGCTAATCCCAAAGCGTGGGCACCTTGCTGTAGTTTCCAGTATTTTTAAGGCTGCATTGGTGCTGGAAGTTCAGGGGCCCATTCAGCAAGCCTTAGAATTGATTGCAAGGAACCAGCAGTAGTCCCATGTCTTTCATCATCCTTTTTCTACTCCCTTCTTCCTGCAAATCCTTCCACAATACACATATGCTGTGTAAGAGCTTCTTCCCTGTGTTGTAGTATTTTGAGTTTTGAAAGCTGTGTTTATTTTGCTGTTCAAAACAGTATGCATTTATTGTTCCAGCTGTCATGTCAGCAACATACACGTTTCAACTTCTCCTTTGCACTGAAGTAGTAATGCTCATGACTGGCTCCCGTGGAGTTGTAGGTACCAGCACTCAGGGATCAGCTTTTTCCAATTTTCAGAGCGATAAGCTGAGTTCTCTGATATGTTTGTTCAGAGCAAAGCATTAAATCAGAATTAGTGTACACAATTTGAGACCCACTAAGCAAAATGCAGCCTACCAGCCATGCATTATAGGTCTTCAACTAGCCCTTCTGCATTTGCCATCCAAGACAGGCAGCAAAAATGATAATCTCAAGCCCCCATATAGGGCTGTATTCAAATTTGTTGGTCACAAGCTATATAGATCTGCACTACATTGTGATATATATGAGAGCTGATTTCACAGTTAATTAAACGTTTAGAAGTTATGTTATTAGCTCAGGCATCATGCAGAAATATGCATCAGATCAGAATAGCTACCATAACTTTGCTGTGGAGGTTTAAATTTAAGATAGTGAGAGTGAACATCTGCTCATGCAATTGGAGAGGCCCTGCCCCTCTAAATCTGCGTTGGAGGTCCCCCAGTGCTTCAGAGCTGAGAGGGTACAGGAACTCCAGAGTAGAGGAGGATTGTGCCCTCTGCTGTTCCACTGACAGCATACCTTCCATCAGATAATCACCAGCAACCCATAGCTCTGTAAAAATGTTAAATGTTAGATCTCTTCCCATTGTTCTCTTCATTTTCCAGATTGATCCATGGAATTGGAAGGTCAGGTGATATTTCTGCTGTCCAGCCAAAAGCTGCTGGCTCTAGTCTCTTGAATAAACTTACTAATTCAATTGTCTTGGACATTATAAAACTTGCTGGTAAGTATGAAATGATGTGTGTTTCCTTATGGATACCCTGAATAATATGAGTGATTGGTATTACTTTAATACCAATGTTAATATGATCTGACTTATTCTTGCAGGTGTCAGAGCAGCAAATAGCTGCTTTGTGGTCCCCATGGCAACTGGCATGAGTCTAACCTTATGTTTCTTAACCCTGCGGCACAAGAGACCAAAGGCAAAATACATTATTTGGCCCCGTATAGACCAGAAGTCCTGCTTCAAGTCAATGATTACTGCAGGTAAAGGGATGGTTGTGGATATGGATACTGATGAGTTACATGGTCTCAAACATTTATGTATGTTGCTTGTTTTACAATGTGCATTTGTGAAAATAACATTATAGAAACCAACAGCAGTAGTCTTTCGCAGCTAGCCAGAGCAGGTAATAAACCACTAATAATAAACTTTAGATGGGTTCCTCACAGATCCCTTCCTAGCAATACCTTCCTAGTCAGTTATTTTGGCTCAGTAGGTCAGAAGCTGTGCAGGGCTGATATAGATAGATAGCTTGATTATAAATAATCAGCTTGTGCAAAATTTAGTTTTGTCCTTTATGTTCTTAAGTCCACAATCTTCTATTTTCCCAGTTCACTCTGCATTTTTTTTGACATTTTTTGTCAATGATCTAATCAATTTTTGTCAATGATCTAATCAATTTTTTGATTAGATCATGCAGAGCTAATATGGATGACAGCAGACATAGTTTTTTCTGCACCATCTTGCAGAGGAACAGGGGAGACCTTCAGAGTCTGAACACCAAGGCTGAAGGACTTTAGTGCTAAGACTCTGAAATATTCTGTGGCTCCTCAAACTGTGGTGGGAGGCCATAGGATTTTATCTTTAGAATGTTATATGCATTTGTTCTCACATAGGGATTTCACATGTGCCTCACTCTTCCAGTCTCTCATAGAAAACTGTATCCCACCTGTCTTCATGGCAGTGTCATGGCCAGGATCCTTGTTAGCAGCCAAATCAGAATCTCACACTTGATGTATTTCAAGAATTGCACGAACAGCAGGGAGACAGCCTTGACTTCTAGGCAGAGGTTTGGCTTTTTGCTTAAGAAATGCAAATGGCAGCCTACTTAATTCTGTGTAGCTGCTATTCCTTCCCACTTCTTACTTTCTTAGCAACCATGAAAAATGGATTTCAGCAGAATACCTCACAATTATTTGGCTTTTAGCTCCTTCAGACCGCTCACATATAGTTTCTATTTCTTTGTTTTATAAATTTATAGACTGCATCTTCACCCATAAAAATGGGATTCAGATGTTGTAGATAAATATTTTCAATCTACAGTACAATTAAAGAGTATTATTCCCCCAACATGCACACACATGTTTCACAGCTTAGTATGATAAATCCATGTATTTTATTACTCGGAAGCTACACTGATTATTAGCATTCCACTGCTAACATCTTCTCTTTCTAGCATTTAGAATGTTAGTAAATATTCCATACCATAACAGTAGCTCAGCTTATGGCTGGGGTGGGGTTGCTCATAGGCAGCTAGAAATGTTTAGAAACATAGAAAAAGAGCAATTCAGAAGGGGTCGCCTAGGTTATCTAGTCTGACCCCTGGCTCTAGTCAGCTCTGCTCATGTAATCTCCAACATGCTTACCTTAATTGGATATGATCATATTAAAATACTAATTAATTATGACTATTTATGACTGTATTAAAATACAAATTATAAATCAGGGTAGCATTATTTCAATTTTAAGTAGAGTTGTGTCCCAAATTATGATCAACTTTAGAAAAGTGGACATAATAGATTCTCTGTCCTCAAACAGCTAGGATTTTCAGTATTGGTAATTGGAATCCAGTCTGGCTTGATAACTGCTAGGCAACATACCAGTAATTTTTATTGAAAAATAATTTTCCAACCTGTCTTAAAAGATGTTGATTGTATTAGGTATAGGTATGGAGATGCAGTGGACGAAAAAAATATCTTAGTACAGTAAGCTTTCATAGCTTGTATAAGAATATGTGTTGAGTATTATTGCTTTCTATAGTAACTGCAGAAAAAGTATAGCTACTTTGTGCTTCAAGTAGCAAGTCAAAACAATGCATATTATACCCCCTTTGCACTGAAGTAATAAAGTTGGAATATGCTGAAGATGAAAACATAACTTGGTCACAGTTATTAAAATGTCTATTCATTGTTTTTAATCACTAGGTTAAAAATAACCACAATCTTTAGCAGCACAGGATTTAAGCATGCTACACATTGCAATTTAGGTTATATATTGGGGGGGGGGACTATCTCACGTAATGACATGAGAAAAGTGTAAGAAAGTAGAAAGCAAATCTAGTACTGATTTTTCTAGCTAATTACAATATACACGACTGTGATTTTTGTTTGTTTGTTTATTTATTTATTTATTTATTTATTAAAACATTTTTATACCGCCCCATTCGCCGAAGCCTCGGGGCGGCTTACAACAATAAATTAAAATACCATTTTAAAATATATACATTAAAATACAAATATATAATATAAAACATACAATATAAAACAAGCCGCCCTGGCCAGATAAAATTCAATAATATTAACATTTAAAATACTGCTTAAATAAAAAGGTCTTTGCCTGGCGCCGAAAAACAAATAACGACGGTGCCAGGCGGACCTCTCTGGGGAGCGCATTCCATAGCTTAGGCGCCACCGCTGAGAAAGCCCTCCTTCGGGTAACCACCCTCCTAACTTCTTCCACGGAGGGCTCCCGGAGAAGGGCCTCTCCCGCCGATCTCAGGGGGCGGCTGGGCATATATGGATGTAAGCGCTCCTTCAGGTAACCAGGACCCAAGCCGTTTAGGGCTATATAGGTCATCACCAACACCTTGAATTGGGCCCGGACTGCCGGGCGCAGTTGTTGCGTCACTGTTAATAATTGAAGCTTTCAAACTGAACAGTTTCCACGGAATTTGAAGTGTGACTCCAAATCTGGCATATTACCTTACTAAGTTCTCTTTTTAATCTATTTTACATAACAGTTTTATGGACAATTTTAAATGTTTTTAACATGGCATTTTTCAGTTCCCTTTGAAATTTAAGACATATAAAAGGATAACATTGGTCAATCTCACCAATTGCTGGGTGGGTTCACATGATCACAGAGAAAAATAAGGTATTGTGGCTTATTTTCCTTCTCTACCTCTGCTAGTCATAAGCTCCCCTGGTTAGCATGATTACCCTTACTGGACGTAGGTTGTCATGACATCTGAACTGCCAAGGGTGGGTGGTTGAAGTGGTTTATCAACCATCCTGAAACTCCATGAAAAGCCATACTTTTCAAGGTGATATATAAACCACCACCCACCTTTGCCAGATGCTGACATCATGACAACCTGCACCTAGCAAGGGTAATTCTGCTAATTTGGAAGCTTGCAGCCCACCTATCCAGGAAGAGAAAACAAGCCATTTCCCCTCCATGATAGTGTACACCTGGTCACTATCTATTACTCCAAACCCATTAAGACATTTTCCCTAAATGCATTACTTGATTAGTTTTTCAAATCAATATGTCAAGATTTTGGGCCAATTATACAACACTTGGAAGGATTGTTTGATCCTTCCTCTGCTCTTACTTGATATTTTTTGGATACATTTTTCTCAAAGCAAATTATTTACCTCCCAAAACCAAAATGGACATTTATTTATTATATTTCTATGCCTCCAAGTAATTCAAAAGGCTCTCTAGGTGGCATACAGCAATTAGCTGTTGTGGCAAACAAGGGAGCTTGAGAACACTGGGGTTTGAAATGGGTCCATTTTTAATTAGGCCTTGGCTTGGTCCAAAGTGGGGAGGGTGTAGTATCCCAAAAATCCAGTGTCTGAATCTTTTTTCCCCTTTTTTTGAGTTCACATTCAGCACACTGTGACGTCTGCTTGATTTCCTGTGAAATAATTTAAATGTGTATACTATCTGTGTGCTGGTTTGTAGCCAATGAGAGTTATTCAAAACTTGTATCTGCTATAATTGCCATTATTTGTATGAAGTGAACCATTGCACATATAGAAAGCAATTTTCTATTGTATTTACCAAAAGTAACAGGGAATCCTGCAAACATAGGTAAGCTACTTTTTTACAAAACCCTCTACTTTATTTTATACAATTTATATTCTGCTGCCTAACAGAGTCTGAGGGCAGCTTCCAAAAAGTAACCACTATAGTAATTTGTTGACTTTTTTAGTAGATCAAGTATTATTCATATGTTAATATACAAATGTGCAGAAACACAGACATTAACCTTTTTATTGTGATAATTTTAGTAATACTTTTTAAAATTACATGCATATGATAGCAATAGATTTGGCCTGTGTTTGAATTCTAAGTTCCACAGTAGAGCATACAGAGCTTTGTAGTAGAGTGGTAAATTAAATACACTGAGGTAAGGGTCCCCAACTTCTCAAGGCATCTAGAGTGTTGGCTTCCCAATGTAGTATCCACTGGAATTGAACTTTTACATTTTTTATTTTTACAAAATTGTTTCCATTTTTAATATATATGCAAACTTTTATATGAAAATTTCTAGGCTTTAGCATAAACAGACCAAATATACAAGTAACTATTCAGTTGAAGTTTGGATCTATATGCCACTCCTTCATATACAGAAAGTGCTGTAAAGACCTCTATCCATTGCATCACAGGATTTGGAGGTTTATCAGTTTTTTAGCTGTTAAAAAGGCACAGAAAATCTATTTACCCTTTCATTAGTTAATTTCCATGAAGAAAATAAAAAAATGTATATGAGTAAATATTAAAGACTGTTCCAAATTTCTTTGTTATAATCTTCTCCCCAAAAGAAGCAGCTACTAAACATTGCCAAAACTTGTGTTTAAAAGAACCATTAGCTGTATTGCGCTACCAGCAGTTACTTGAATTAGACAATGCTTTATTAAATACACATTGTGATGTCCAGTAGATTCAAAATGTTTTGCTGACTAAGATATAAGAGCAATAAATGCAACAGGTAACTTCCAAAGTGGCAATTCACTGATTAAGTAATTTGTGGTGATGCCCACAACAGTTTCTGAAATTCCCAAAGAAATCCGAAAAGTTGGGAACCCCTTCATTAAATAAATATTTTTATACATTTTGTTTGCATTGACTTAAACTTTTCTTACGTGAGGTTCAGTGTTTATGCACACCAGCATGGTAATCTCCAAATTCAATAATCTAATACCATTTTACAGTGGTACCTCGGCTCACGAACGCCTCAGTTCACAACCAAATCGGGTCACAAACAGAAATTAAAAAAAAAAAATTCTCAGGTCGCGAACTCCGCATCAGGTGACAATCGCGATGGCGCCCATCTTCCCTGCACGGGCGCGATCACGATCATGCTTGGGGTGGAGGGGGAGATGGCTGCAATCGCGCCTGCCCCAGTGTGACCGCGATCATGCCTGTTTTTGGCTGCACTCGCGCTGGGAAGATGGGCACGATCATGATCATGCTTGGGGGTGAGAGGGCTGCGATCGCGCCCGTCTCCCTCCAAGCACGCCCACAATCACGCCTGTCTCCCCCCGAGCACGCCCACAGTCACGCCCATCTTCCCACAATCGTGCCTGTCTCCCCCCAATCGCACCCACAATCACGCCTGTCTCCCCCCGAGCACGCCCACAGTCACGCCCATCTTCCCACAATCGTGCCCATCTCCCCCCCAGCGCCCCAATGATGGTGCCCATCTTCCCTGTGATTTAAAAAATATTTACAGAACAGATTAACCTTGTTTACATTGAACCTTATGGGGAAATTTGACTTGGCTCACAACGAATTTGGGTCGCCAGAGTTGTGGAACAGGTTGACTTCATGAGCCAAGGTACCGCTGTACTTGTATATGGCTGACCAAGTTAATTAATATTAAACTTATAAAGGAGTGTGGTAAAAAGAGAATAAAGTTAAACAAAATGCAAACTGGGACACAGATTGAAGATTTAATTACAGAAGGTCCCTTGATGCCGACTCATCTGTTGTTTTTGTTGGCCGGATTAGGTTTTGAGCCTGTGGTGATAGAAAATGTATTAGAAGGTGATGAGCTGCGTACAGACCTCAAGGCAGTGGAAGCTAAAATCCAGGATCTTGGGGCTGATAATATTCTCTGTGTTCATTCTACCACTTCATGCTTTGCTCCAAGGGTACCTGACAGGTAAATAAATCCACATATAAATATTCAGTAGCTATAATCTATTGCGAGTTTAAGGGGGTAGCTGCTGACAGTGATTGGCTAAGCTACCCTAATGTCATAGAGTCAGTGTGGTGTAGTGGTAAGAATGCAGGACTGGGACTCAGGTGATCTGGGTTCTAGTCCCCACTTGGCCAGGGAGCCAACTGGGTGACTTGGGCCAGTCACAAACTCTCAACTCAACCTACCTTACAGGGTTGTTGTTAGGGGTGTTGTTATTGAAAGCAGGAGGAGGAGAATGGTGTACGGCATTTTGAGTTTGTTGTGAGAAAAAAGCCTAATATAAATCTAAAAAGGAAAATAGAGGGATGGGGCAAGTAGAAGAGTATCTGGCTGTCACTGGTTGAGTTGCTCAGGTTCTAAAATGGGATAGACTGAAAGGGGTTAAAAAAAAGATGAAGGCCAAATAGAGAAGACCAGATCAAGCTAATGAAAGGAGGGGCTGAGGGAACATCAGGAGAGGAGTAGCAGCAAAGGGCATAGTCTAGAGAATAAGAGGAAGAGAAGACCTGCAGAAGACATTTTAGCCAGGAATGAAAGCTGGGAGAGAGCTGCTAGAAACAAAAGGTGTACGCAGCCAGGAGCTCAGTGGAGTGGAGAGTTAATGTTAACAAATGTTTCTGAAATACTTTGCTTGATATTTGGTATTCGATTAGCTTTCCAGAAGTGCCACTAAGCTATTCTAAACAGTTAAAATAGCAGCAATTAAAGATTTTTTTGAATTCTATTGAAGTTCATTTTTTGAACTTTATCCATGGCCATCAGCAAGATTTGTATAGTACCACAGTAGACTCCGTTTAATAAATACTCTAAATAATGGGATTTCACCGCTCCTTTTCTACTCAAGGTTGAATCATATTACGATTTTATGGGTAAGTCATTCAGGCTTGTGAATGGGAGACAGAGATGATTGAGAAACTAATGAACTGCAATTGTGGTTACAGAGTAAGAACCTTTATCCTCCAAATTGGATTGTCTTTGAAGTAATGGTGGTAAAAATGATAGGTGATATATACTGAAAATAATTTCTTTTATGCATGCAAGTATGTTAGTATCACTGCAGTTACACAATTAGGAACATAGGCACATGTTTTACAAGTTGGCATACTTAATACAGTTTCCTATTCCCATGTCATAGCAGTGGTCAAAAGCTTTTACTAACTTGAGATAATAAAACATGGGTGTCCTATGGTATGCCATTAAATGCAACTTAGAGAACCACACTAGCCACTATTACAGTTCTTAGCCAATGAATTCTGTCCCCCTGTATCTCATTCTGTCCCATGCTACCGTACTGCCAGGAAGTTTCAGTGTTCCTCTGGGAATCTTTGCAGTTAGAAATATAGTCACATAACAGTTAAACTTCAGGGTCATTTTTTCTGTTTTACTTTAAATTAGTGCGGCTAGTCTAAATTCCATTTTAAATGTAATGTTGATTTATTGATTTGATATACATTTGTGCAGGTATGTAGTTGAAAGTTATATAGCAGGACTAATAATTCTGTCTTCGCCACAAACATTGTCTAAACTGAGTTGAAAAATTTACTAACTTGAATCACAGCTAAGAAGTAAAAATGACCTGATCTCAGGCCACTTCAATTTACCTTTCATTCCGCTGCCGCCACCACCTTTTTCTTCCATTATATTGTTGTGCTCTGTCTTATTCCTGAGACTATGAATTTAAAATATTCAATGGCATTTGAAGGGCCCTTTTTTATTAAAGGACTGCTGTCAGCCCCTGAAGGTCACACACTTATCTTTTCAACAAGATTACCCCCATTGCTGCAACTTTAAAAAATACCTTTTTATATCTTTCGATTTTGTTACAAGATTTTTGTGTAGGTATCAGATGAAATGGCATTTTCCTTAAAACTTTATGCTGGAGTTTTTTTACAATAATATTTGTTTGGTTATAAAGATTTTTTTAAACTGCTTCTCCAGGTCAGGGTTGAGGGAAGGTGAGGGGGACAGTTTTCACCCCCCCCCCCAAATGTTTCATTTTGCATGAGAATATTTCTCTGGAGTATCTATATCTTCAATCAGCTCACTTGTTCTTGTACTAAGGCAGCAATCTGATAGATACTTACCTGGAACCAAGACCACTGAATTTATGTGTTTCACTTCTGTTTAGACATGTAGGCTGCGCTGTTATTCAACAGTCTGCTAGCATGTTTGATGTGCTTAAGCTCATTTATTTCAGTGGTTTTTAATTTTTTTTTTGTATTGGATTGTGGCCTGAAATTGTTGTATACCAGAAATAGCCAACCTCCATATTCTTAGAATACACTTTTCTACAGGCACTGGCCCAGTAGCCAGAATTATTTGGCCCTCACATGAACACCCTGCTTCAGTAATAACATTGGCATTACTTATTAACAAGGACTACCTGTAAGGAAACAGAGTACCAGTATGTAATTACTGATCTGGGGTCAGGAAAGAGGACCAAGAAGGGAACATGCTTCTGGAAAAAAATCCTCTTGAGGGGATTGGCAGTAGTTCCTTGCTGTTCCTAGATACATGTGAGATAGGAATGCAAAAGCTTGCATTTAAAACATTCAAAGGCTCATTTATTCTCTTACCACCAAAAGCAAATATTTTTGAGCAAATATTTTTAACACAACTTATTTAAATGTTGTTAGCAGATAAATTTGCATTGAAGGTTGGATCTGGTTTGCTGCTGCTAGTTATCCATCCTTGGCTATAAGCAGTGAATTAGGTATGCATACTTATAAAAAAAGAGAAAAGGAAGGGAAGAAAGAAAAGGGATTCTTCATTGCCCATTGTTGTTTCTGTGTTTCATAACATAGAAAGCTGTACCATCAGATGCTCATATATGAACACCCTTGTAGCATTTCAGTAAGATTATGCCCAATCTTTCTCCTTCCTTCCTGGAGGACGGGGTTCTCTCTGCTCTACTTCCTACTTTGATTTGGCTTGATGTACAGAGCTTCTGCAACCATGAACAAAAGTATATGATGTCCATATAGTGAGGACATCCCATGTATGCCAGTCTCATCAAGCCAGTGATCGCTGCCTGAGCCCCTAGCTTATTACACATTGCCTAAGCATTTTCTCTGTACTCAGTTACTTTGCTGTATCTTGTCTTGCACTGGCTTCTGAAATAGGATGTGTCTAGCCAGGTGATAACAGGTTAGATATGTATAGAATGCTTATAGTTGGGATTGATACCCATTTGTGAGGAAGGCTTAACCAATAGTTTCCTGTCAGTAAGAGTCAGAAATTACTAATCTCCCCACGCTTTGGGAGAGAATGTGTGTGCAAGCACAAGATTCATGCCTTTAAATTCTCAGAATATTGTCTTGTCACATTTTGGCATCATGTCTGAACACAGCCACAGTCATAGACTCCAAGAATAGTAGAGTTAGAAGGCGCCAAAACTCCATTGGGTCCAACCCCCTGCTATTGCAGGACACTAAGTTACACCAGCCTGTTTAGATGACTGTCCAGTCACTTTTTGAATGTCTCCAGCAAGGGAGAGCCAACAACTGCCTCAGGTAAAAGGTTCCATCGTCAATATTACTCTGATAGTCAGGAAGTTCTTCTTGGTGTCTAGTCTAAATCTGGTTTATTTTACCTTGAGAGTGTTATTCTGTGTACTGCACTCTGGAATGAGCAAGAATAGATCTTCCTCTTTGTGACAACCTTTAAGGTAGTTGTAGAGCGCTCTCCTCTCCGTCTTCTCTTCCAGAGGCTGAACATGCCCAGTTCTCTCAATTTTCTTCGTAGGGCTTTGCTTCCAGTCCTTGAAGCATCTTTGTTGCCTTCCTCTCTACCCCTTCTAGCTTTTCTACATCCTTTAAAACTTAGGTACCCGGAACTGGACACAGTACTCCAGGTGACTAGAGCTGAGTATAGTCGAACTGGTACATCATGTATTTTGAAAGTAATGCTTCTGTTAATGCAACCCAAAATAGCATTTGCCCTGGTGAGATTCTTAGCTGAAGGAGGATTTGCTCCTTGGTCTTCCTGGGATAATTCCAGTGTTATTCACTACACCATACTAGCTCTTTCTTCTGAAACCTAATTACTGCAACTAGTACCTTTCAAGCTTGGAATCCTAATGTAAATAATAATATGATTCTTATAGATGGGGCTTCTCCTTCCCTCTCATCAGTTCTATAAGACTTGCTACAAAATGGAGTACTTACCTCACTGTATCAGGATTAGTTGCTGGAATATATACCAATTCCTTTTAACAAAGCCTGTGGGAAAAGGATGTTTTTAATTACTGCCAAATTAGGTTGGTTTGAATTAAGTGACAAGTGGTGCAATTCTTTGTATAATGGGCTAAAGTGAATTAAAATTAAGGGTATTTGACTTTTTTAAAAAATACATGTATCAAGTATTTCTTAAAATAGCTTGGTCTAAAGCTGTATCTGACTGCAGTACAGAATTATTAGAATCTGCATTCTTTATGAATGAATCCATGACCCCCTATTAAAAATTTTGACTTTGAGCCTGATCTTCAATGTAAAATCATTAATAGGAGGCAAAAAATATATCCTGATTTCAAGCATTATAAACAGGACACAACACATCCAGAATTGTATTTACTGTTGTGCAAACTCTACATATTTAGAGGGTTAAACAAACAGGATGTCACAGAGTAGTATTCTTCTGCCCAATTGCTGTCAGCACAGCCTATCTGAACTGTTCTTTAGGGAAGCCATTTTGTGTGGATGTCTGTCCCAAGCATGTTTACTCATGTCTGCTTCCAAGTGAGCTTAGTGGGGCATCCCAGGCGCAGTGTCAGCAGCCAGCATGGTCAGCCAAGCAAGTACTGGAGACTAGAAGCCCTGGCTCTTAACATGCATTACCTGCATTTTTCTTTTTTTAGATGTAACATGGTAGCAATGTGAAGTGCCAGGCAAGGCTGTAACTGTCATCTTTACTTCCTGCGAATGCCCATGGCTAAAAGGATGGTGGCTGCTTCAGCTACTTTGCCTGCTGCTTCTGTTGATGCTGGGCTGATGCTATCATTCATCCCAGCCATAGCCTGGTCTGGTCAGCTGGCCCATGGGGAAGACAGTAGGCAGTAGCAGGAACAGGCAGCTCTAAGCTTCGGACTGAAAAGAACAGCACTGCATGAAGTGGTTGCAGCAGCTGCCACTGTGCTCCTGTTTGCTGTTTTGAAGCTGGTAGTGGTGCTTTGCCCAGGGTCCTCTCAAACCTCAATCTCTGTCAAGTGTGTGTAAAAATGCAGCCTTGATGTCTTTACGTAGGAAAAGCTTTAACATTTGTCCCCTGTAGGGAATCTGTAAGTTCCTAGATTCTGTACTGCAAACAGAAGTGGAGTGAATGCTACATTGCATATTGTTTAGGGAGTATTGTTAGTTCTGTTTAATTCCAAACATAACATTCTAATTGTTTTAGCTACAAATTAGTATGTGTGATTTTAAAGAAAATACCTAAATTAGAAAGTTCTGTCAAATTACTGTGCTCTGTCCTGCCTTGGCTGTTTAATTTTCAAAATAAGTTTTATAACTTTGGCTACCATTGAGATAGAAAGTGGGATGAGTAGGAATGGTTTTGTTTTTTAATAGAAGATACTGGGTGATAGCCAATGGAACCACTCTGCCAGGTCTGCTGAACTCGTGGGAGCAACTGTTCATGCAATGGACCTTTCACACTTGTAAAAATAACTCTAGGAATGCTAGTTTCCAGATTAGAATAAATCAGTGGAACTCCCTTCTTCAAGCTTTGTTAGCCTACTGCATCACAAAAATGAGTGTTTTTGCTTATTTGGGGTTATTTTTGGAAACACAAAAGCCCCATTATACAAGCAGTCACTCCTGTAGTCCCATGAGTGCAAGAGGATACTGCCCACTGAACATCTCTAAATAGTAGCAGCTATTATTTCAGCCACTGAACCAAACAAACAAAAATACTTTTGGAACTTGGAGACTTGTGAGTTCTTATTCTAAAAACTACTTGCTAGTAGAGACTGCCAAGTATGTGATTGTTCAACAGTAAGCAACATCCAAAGAACTGTGAAACTAGTTCCATAGTCAGCAGTCCCTGACGACAATTTTGCAACTCATGAGAATCACAGAAGCAGTTACTGATAAGGCATGATGATTATTTGTCCAAGGCAAAGCATATCACTGGGATTTCATAAGCCCTTTGTAACTCAGGTGGTTATTTTAATTCCAGTCAGAGTTTCTATCTCATACTAAATTGTAGGACAGTGATTGGGATGCCCTTATTAGAGCAAATCAAATTTTCTTTCCATTATTTTTCTTTTCAATCCATTTTAGTCTTGCATAACAAACCTTTGCCTCAATTTTAATTTTATTCAATTGCAGACTAGAAGAATTGGCTGAGATCTGTGCAAAATATGACATTCCCCACATTGTCAATAATGCCTATGGAGTTCAGTCTTCCAAATGTATGCACCTCATTCAGCAGGTAATGCATGTTTGCTTCAAATGCAGACCTTCTTTCTTTAGATATACTTGAGCCTCCCAGCAAACTCTGAATTTCTCAGCTTACTTATTGGCAATATAACATTTTTAAGGAAGTTGAATTGTGAAGGTGTACTTCTCTTTTCTAGTCTGTCTACACATTAGGTGAAAAGTGATTATGTGTAAACCAAGTTTGTTGAAAATTCTGAAGATTTACAAGGGAAATCATAGAGCTACATCTTTTCTTCTCTCTTGTTCATCTATGCTTCCTATCTAGGTTTTCCTAGCAGCTGGGAATGGTAGGAGCAGGACAAATACTTTTTTTGGCCTTTAGATTTCTCAGCTATCAGAGCCTGGCTAACATAAGAGATGTAATGAGTAGCCATGCTCTTAACTTGGGGCTGCTGAATGTTCTCTGTAGAAAGGGAGCTTTGGTAATGTGTCTCAGTCTTTCTTTTGTGTGAAAACACACACACACACACCTATTTATTTATTTATTTGTTTGTTTATTTTATTACATGCATTTATACCCCGTCCTATCAATTCAAATGCTCAGCATATAATGATGCTGATTTACATAACACATTTATTATAAAAAAATTCAAAGACAGGTTAATCAGTAAAATGGTGCTATGTAAGTTATCTGTAATTTTTTCTTATTGTTGCTATTGCTGCCTTATTTTTCTAAACAGATAGCAAGTTTAGTCCACAATTCAGTAAAGCCAATGTTAGGGCCATTTCTGGCCCACTGATGTAATTTTTGCTCAGTTAGGGACTCTAAACAAACACCTCTTCATGCAAAATGGCATATGAAGATGAAGGTCTACCCATATTGCAAATGTGAGAATCAGCTCTTGCCATTCCTTTAAGATTTTTCAAACTTTTCCTGCAAGTAACCCTGTACAATTGCACTGCTGTGGAAGGTACTCATGTGTACCCTAAAGCAGCAGATAGAATGGACATGTCATTTTTGTGCCAGGCTAATAAAAAGGACAAGGTTTCTAATCTTCCACATGAAATACTAGGGTGGGGGGCAAATTGCACATTGGTCTGCTTCCTCAGCCTGTGAACTCATACTGATTTCAGGTGTTATGGAGCAGTTTCATTTTCATGTGAAGTACAATATATAATATACATTATTGAAAACATTTGTACAATTATGAATACAGAGATCACAAAATTTAAGAAGACATAGCCCCTGCTTGAATCCTAATAATCTAATCAGGTAAAAGCAGAATCAAGGGAGGAAGGCTTGAATGAATGAAAAGAATGAATTAACTGCTACTGATGCAGTAACAGTGTTTCTGCACCAGCCATGATTTGCTAAATTAGGGACCAGCTTCATGTTCCATCATCCCCTACCTTTGGCAAGTTCTCCTCTCCATTGCCTTGCTGGTGTTAACCATATTTTAGATTTCATTATAAACTGACATTAACTCTGGTTCCCTCATAACCATAGTTTGTACATTCACTTCAGTCCTGATTGACAAGAGAACCAGCTAGCTTTAGTGCACCTGTAACTAAACCATGATTAATGCTGAAAAGTGAAGGTGATAGGACTGTATGTCCTCAGAGTCACTCCCAGTTTGCACACCATGGTCTCTAAGGAGCCAGCCTTATGCCTCAGATGGGACTGAGTGCAGGAAAAGTCTTTATGTCAGGATCATGAAATTCCAAAGAGATTGAACAGCTCAAGGAAAGGCATGGAGATAAGAGAATTCTGTAATACAGTCTTGTAATTTGGTATTGCCTAGTTGGGGAGATTAAGAATTGGCCCCAGGTAAGAAAGTTGTGAGCCGCCTCGAGGCTTCAGCGAATGGGGCAGCATAGAAGCTTTCTAAATAAATAAAGTGAGACAAGAATCCTGCACTTCCGCCATCCCTCTGGCTCTTAGTGCCAGAAGTGAGGTATACATAAAGATTGTTGGGTGGTAGAGAAGAAGGAAAAAACTGGGTAGACAACTATACCCTTCCACACCCTCCCCATATTTGCAAGTTTGGTTGAAATGGCTATTAGGTATTGCCAAAAATAACTTTTGTATTGTGGAAAGTTTTACTATTACATCTAAACACATCATGCTCAAAATGTAAGGAACAATTTAACTTCCTGCTTCAACTATAATGGAAACAATAAATCATTTCTAATGATAGGCTTGTCAAAAAAAACAAACAAACCCTGAGTTGCACAACTAGTGCATTAGTCCACTGGGTTGTATGTACACTCCTATTTGGCTTGCTCTTTTTTTAAATTATGTATGCTTACATATTCGAAAAGATCACCTTGTATTCTAAACGATTTCACTTTGTTTTGAGGAAATAAAGATCTGTTATGTTGACAGGGAAACAGCTATAGAAGGATTTAGCACTATGTGACAAATAATGTCATTTCTAAAATTCAGTCCAAACAAGGCAAGATATATTATTTGTAGGTGGCTGATTTGATGACATGGGATGGGTAATTCTCTGATTTTTCAATATATTAATAAGAAAATAAAAACAATTAAATTTCTTTTGGCTCAAGTAGGATCCCCAAAGAAAGTTAGGATTAAAATCTTAAGACGTTTTAAAAATCACAAATCACAGAGTTAAGAGCAGGACAAAAACTTGTAAAGATTAAGAAGCTAATATATTGAAAATATGAACATATCATAAAAACTAAAAGGTAGTAACATTCCTCATTCTAGCAGAACAAAAAGTTTTTAACAATTTTTTTTTAAATTGAACAAAGAATGGGCCAGTCTAATTTCCTGAAAGGGAGAGTTCTGCCGGCAGGGTTAAACTGCAGAGAAACTATGGTTTGCAGCCTACCAAGGTGCTGCAGATGGGGAACAAAAGAGCAGAGCTTTCCTGTGGTTACATCTTTCTTTGTGGTGAATTTTAGGCACCAACATTTTAATTTAGGCATTTCTGTTTTCTTTCCTACTGATTTGTAAAAACTTAGCTGGATTATTTTACTTCTGTTTTAGTTTGGCTTATTTTATTCCTTCTTTGTTTTGTTTTTATGAAGCAAGAGATTAAAATTCCCTGAGATTAGGTGTGTTATAAATATATTAAAATAAATTAAACACATATTTTCTTTTAAAATGTTCATTTCCCAAAGAGTTTCAGAGGCCCTACTTTAGGCTGCATTTCTAAACACTCGAAAGCATAAATCTGATTTAATTAAGTAGGGTGTCTGAGTAAGCACAAGTATGATTGCCCTATTAGATCTATCTGGAATAAAGATGCAATGTGTTTAATGTTCATCTGAGCTTTATTATGCAGTGACAGCTGATTTCCTAAGAATAAGAAAATGTACTATCCTTTATTAAGCACCGATATTGCACTAAGTCTGTGACGGTGTCTGTGAAATGCCCAACTTTTGTTCTTAAGCTTATGTTTAATAAAAAGATAGGTTATATAGATAGAATCCTTAACCAACATTTACCAAAAAGAAAAATGTGCATTCTTTAGAGTGAAGTATCCAAATCAATTAACAGAAAGCTTATCCCTTTGGTAAAATAGGTTGGTTATTGTCTGTGGTCTTACATATTTTTGTTTTCCTCAGTATTATATAGTTGAAATCCTGTGATGTGTCTTGAAAAATGGTGAGATTGTGAAAGACTGCTTCTAGTTTTTCTCCTTACCAAACAGCTAATTGCAACAGTGGTTCTGTAATGAAACCATGACATAACCTAGTGGAAAGGTCTCCTGGAAAGGTTCCATTGAAATGTATGTAAGCTGTGCATGAGCGTGATACTTCTCCCATTCATTTTAGTGAGGCTTGTGAGGTTAATGTTTTTGGTGGCTTGTATCTTTGAAAGCTGACAATGCTAACTTGCTTTGGTCATGAGTTCTGTATGGTTTTAAAGGATTGATTCTGAGTTTATTGCATTGATGGAGACCACATCATCTTGGTTCTTGCTTTGATTCTGTTTGTCTTTTTAGGGAGCACGTAGAGGCAGAATAGATGCCTTTGTGCAAAGTTTGGACAAAAATTTTATGGTTCCAGTAGGTGGTGCTATCATTGCTGGCTTCAATGACTCCTTCATACAGGAGATCAGCAAAATGTACCCAGGTACATAGTTTTTAAATTGATTTTTCTTTGGGAAGAGCTCCTAAAGAAACTCAAATAGCTTATTGTCCTCAATAACAAATGTAATTATTTATATGTTATTTTTCTCCCAGGAAGAGCATCAGCGTCTCCTTCACTAGATGTTCTCATTACATTGCTGACCTTGGGCACAAAAGGGTATCAACAACTGCTAAAAGAAAGAAAGGTACTATTTTAAAATTAATGGATGGCAAATTACAATGTTAACCTCTAATAAATATGTTACATCCCCTTATGGAGCTTCAGCTGCTATAATCAGCGATAGGAGCATTGTGTACATGAAATGTGGTGGTCTGGTCTGTTATAACATACTTTGTTTTGTTTCTTGTACTGGCAACCAAAGCTTGGGGAGACTATGTTTTTGTTTGTTTTTGTTATCTTGGTATCTGGCATACTTCTACAATGTCAGTCCTCTTTGGAGTTCAGACTTTTGAATATGAGATTATCCCATTTTATTCTTGGAACAACCCAGTGAAAGGTGGAGAGGATATCACTTACTCAAGCCATCAACTAATAATTATCTGACAATAGATTCCTTACCCATGCATTTCCAAAGGTGGCAGGTATTATTCTTTTCAGCCTTGTCTTGGCTTACTGCCAGGTTTGTTTGTCTGCATTAAGTTCTTCACTGCAATCAAAAACCCAACTGGTGCTGAACCTGTGCAAGAATGGTGGAAAGATAGAGCTGGGTGATAGCACACTGATTATTCCACGTGCTCTGATATACACACATGCATCAAAAGGGGATTGCGAATTGGGACCCTGCAGGGAAGGTCCTAAAGATTTCATACAACCACCAACAACCTCACTGCCTGCAAAACAGAATTGCTTGGGAATGTTCCTACAAGAATGCACCAAGTCAAACGCTTGAGACGCCATCACCTCATGATGAATGAGACTGCCAGAAGACCTAACAAGATCAATATGGAACAATTTCCCTTATTGATCCCTAGCTAAAAATCATCAAATATGACCATATGTGCAGTCTCAGTGCAACATCTAGTAGTGCTTGGTGAAAATAACTGTTAGTGTTGAGATGCTCTTGAAACTATAGAGGGACTACTTCATCAACAACCCCTTAATCTTACTGAAAAATCCTAGGGAGCCTAAGAACTAATTCACCACCTTTTTGTGTCTTAGTCATGGCACAGTCATACAACTAGCAATGGGAAAACTTCTCAAAATAAATTAATTACTCACGCATAAAGTAATAAATTTTATGAGTTTTAATGGGACTTAACTTTTAATATGAAGTCTCATTTTGAGCATAAGCTTTTGTGCATATCACAGTCCATCTTCCAATATGTAGTTTGTTTTCTCATTGCCTACTTGCATGTGATGGGTCCTCACTTATCATCATTATTTGAACAAAAAAAGATTGCTTTCCAGGTCCTCCTTGTGAAATCAAAGTTATGGTGAAATCAAAGTTATGGTGGTGACGGAGACAAAAAGAGAAGCAATTATAGATGTGTGAGTTCATTCAAGGATTAAACCAGGTCTTCACATGTGTAGAAATTGTGTTCAGATAGACACTGCATATAATCTGAACCACACAATTAGTTCTGAACATAGTAGCAAATTCATAATACATTGATGCAAGATCAACACAAATGTGAACATTCCAGGCAGACAAGTTTTGTCAAATGAGCCAAGTAATTAAAAAATCTATGGCATTAGTAGTGACTAACTTGATTCAGCACAACTTCTGATTCTGATTCAACAGTCTCAATTGATAAAAACTTACTTCATTTATCGGGTGGCAGTTAGAGGGATTGCATGATAGATGGATGCAGCAAAAAGGATTCTATGAGCATAGAAAATTAGCAATTTTGAATGAAAACTAGGGTGATGCTTTCACATCTCAGGCAAGGTTTTTGCATTCCTTCTTTAGAAGAGCAGTTCAATTTACAACCCTTCCCCTGCACACACCTGCTATCTTAAATGGTACAGTCCAGAAAATTAATACACCCTGATTTTGCAAAATGTATAAATTGACCTGGCTAGCTAATTCGGGAACTGGAGAGTTGTCAGTGGGTAAAAGATGAGTATTTGAAGAGATCAGGAGCTAGACAAATATATTATTTATAGAATTGGTGAAACCAGGGAATAGGAACCAAAGTCTTTGCGTAATGTTTCACATTATTATGCAGTCAAGGCATGTAACAAGAAGAGAAAAAGATGACAATAGCCATATTTTTTCTTTTATAACTGAAGTACCTTTGTAGGACTCTTGGCTAGTCTCTAATGATTGACTTGGTGTGGCAGTACATCAACAAAAGCCATATCATTGATTTTTTCCCCTGATGTGTTGTGAAAGATCTGCTGATGTAAGGGACCTTAGTCAAATTCATGTGACTTCAATTCTTGCATCTCTCAACTCTTGCATGTTTAATTTTTAAATATTTCTTTTGCAGGCTTAGGCTTAGCTTGGATGTAATTAAATAGAAGCAAAGTGACTCGCTGTTACTTAAAATAGAAGTCTCTTTCACTCATGGGTGATGCGTTTGTGCCATTGCTCAGCTGTTTCTTGTAATACAAGTTTTAAAAATCCATCCTGGAGCCTGCAGATTAATTGTTGGAAATGATCCATTATCACAGTATTTTCCTCATTTCCATCTTCTGTAGAAATGTCAAGACACAGAGCATCGGTTAGTGATTTCTAAAGGGTAAACTAGGGCACCGTAGCATGTCATATGTAATACATAACCGAAGCACACATATGCGCACACAGAGACACATATACCCAGGAGGCTACTTTCTACTTCACTGAATGTGGCACTGTTCTAGTTTTTCCTCCTCCTGAGGAGGTAGTGTGTGGTGGGAAGGGTGCGTATAATTGTGTTAGGACTGCATCAGAAGAAATCACATCATTCAGTTATTCCTTCTGCAAAAACATGGTAGAATTACCTTCATCAGAGAAGACTAGCCATTTATCTGCATGAGTCACTGCATTTGGTTTGCCACCTTTTAGACAAGAGGCAGATGAATGACTCATGCAGAAAAATAGTGAGGAGGCTCTTCCAAGGGCAGGAAATTCTTTCTCTTGTGGGAGAAGGATGAAGTGCACTTCTGATTTTTAATACAAACGGAGACAGTTGTGACTTTTATCAGCAATTGAGTGGGACAGCAACATCAGGCTGTATGGAAACTGAAAGTTATTGTAATCTCCCCAGAAAAGCCACAGTGGTGCCTGGGTATGAGATGATGTGAAATTCCTCTGTGATTCTCCACAAAAGGCTTATTGCCATTTTAAAATTAAATCAATTTTATTGTGCCAATCCCCACCCAGCCCTCCAAAAAGGCATCAAACAAATCAACTTTGCATTTTAGTACCACTGATCTTGATTGGAGGGTTTGCTTTATGGTAAGTTACTGAGGGATATTAGAAATTGCTGGGAACCACAAATAATTTGGCAGTTATTGGGCAGATGATAAATCTTCAATGAATGTCCATGTATTTTAAACATAATGTAATATGTTCCTCAGTAGTGAACTCTTTAGTGAATAAAGCATTAGATATTTAACAATTTCAACCAAGAAGCAAATTTGCTAACTGAAAATGTGGTTCTGCTTCATAAACACAAGTCTTTGAATGTTGTAAATATGTTCCTATTATTGGATATGTTGTAGAAATAAGAACCACCCCTCCTTTTTTTAAAGTGTACTTTGAATGTGCGTGTTCCTCAATAGTAAAATTTAATAGTGATGGTTTATTGCCTTTTGCTTTATGAAGGCTGAGGCAGTGCTATTATGTTCTCAGCAGGAGCTATTTATAGCTTGACATTGAGTGCTCTTTTCTATATTGGTTCCACTACACCTACTCAAAAAGAAGCCAGGCTATAAAAGAAATCTGAATAATTTTCTCCCTTTTCTTGCCTTCTCATGTCAAATCCTATTGCAGGTTATTTGAGCTCATATCAATAAGGAGCCTAGCCAGCATCTTGCAGAGAGGAGGTTAATCTTTGCTGCAGAGCCAGACAGTACAGCACCGATTTTCTTCCTTCTCTGCATGGTGCAAAGAAACATGTTTCATGCTCTCTACCTCACTGAGTAATAAGAGGGTATATGGCTGCCTTTTAGAAAGCCAGCAAAAGTGCTGGAGTCTTCCAACACTTTTCTGATATTTCTTTTTTTCATACACACACAGATTAAGCAAGTGGGAACGAAGCTGGTACCTGACATGGCTTAAAGTAACATCCATCTCCAAAAATAATAGCTCACCATTCTCCTGCCCCCAGCTGCTTTTTTGCCAGCCAGAAACTTCTTTGCTAGCTAATATGCTTCATAGCTGAGGAGGGACTTCAACCAGGGTCCCGGAGGTATTCTTAAAAAGAAAAATAGTTGCTACAGCCCAGCACTTCATGTTGAAACATGTCCAGCCACCCAGAAAAACCACAAAGGTATGCTCGGGTGGCATATTCTGAATTTTTAGAACATGTGAGCACTCTCACACAACAGCTACTGTTGTGGCTTGCCCATTCATAACACAGCTGCAATAGTGGGCATGGCTGGTGGCAAAACACTTATTCCCCAGAAGGCAAATGGATGAAACTAAAAGAAAAGTAACTCGCTCAAGAACCAGTGGAGAGGTAGAGTCTAAAGTCTGAAATACAAGACACACCATTGAATTCAGTTCTCCATTCCCATTTCACAGAATGCAGACTGATGAGGCTCAGTGAGAAATAACTTGGCCAAGCAACTGAGTATAAGGCAGAAGTAAACTCTGAGTCCCAAATGCAAAATCATATCAAAATACCCATTTCACAGAAAGCAAACTGATGATTCTCAGCTAGACAAAACTACACACTCCACAAGGGAAAATGCCACCCACCCACAAACCAGGTGAAAAACATGAATGGCACAAGCCAAACACTCCCCTTGCTCCCCACCCCTCAGAATACTCCCTTGCTCCTGGAACCACATAATTCAGGGGTCTGCTCCCATGAGCATAGTGCCACAAGCCTATGTGAAATTGTTGATTTCTCTTTTCACTGGCATACTGTTCTTTGTGATTTGCAAGTGTCCCCTGATTGTTGGAAGCCACTCTCAGTTGTAATAGTTAAAAATCAGTTGTGGAAAACAACAGCATATGCTGTACGTTTTGAAAGTAACATTTTCTGCTTTTCCCTTAAACTTGCTGCTGGTCTTGCCTAAAGCATTGTTTCACTTGGTTTTTTAAATCTCTTTACTTTCTCTCCTGGAAATTTAGCTGACATTTTAGTGTGCAAGTTGTTCAATACTCTTCTAGTATGATAAGATTCTTCTGCGTCCTGAGTTAAATATAATACTAGCAATGTAGAAAAATCAATGAAGTTCAGTTACATTTCTTTTAAATAAGTCTTGGGTTTGGAGTCCTCATAAATTCCTTACAAAATAGCCAGATTTTCTAATAGAGGTTAGATATGGATTTGACCCCACAAAAAGTATTGCCTGATTCGGGGCGCCTTTAATTTACTGCGCAGCAAAATGCTTAGCTAGCTACTTGTATTATCTAGGCACTTATTAAAATGGGAAAAATAATTCTGAAATGTAGATCATCTAATAAATCATGGGTGTTTACACTTTCATTTTCTCTCATTTCACTGTATCACTTCAGCCACATACATACAGTTAATTAATATTCTTAATATCCCACTTTTAAATTAGCTGATTTTACTCCTGTAATAAGTGCCTAACGGATGCAAAAATTGCTTGGTTTGGCTTCCCCTTGGTAAACATGCTCAAGGGATTAATCAAAAGTATATAGAGGAGGGGAGTTGTGCCAAATCCTCCATCCATGTGAGTGTATGTATGAGAAAGGGAGGAGGGATATATATATTGTTCTTTGGCTTTTATGATGGGTAGCCTGTAATAGTGATCTTACTGCCAGGAGACCAGGAGTAGAACACAGAAGTCTGATCTCTGATCCATCATCTTAGCTATCTGCTTCACTACTTTGCCGGGAAAGTTCTTTGAACATGAATTTCCTCATTATTAGAATTCTTCCTTCTTGGTTTTACCTGCCTTGGGATGCAAGTTTACCTGACACCATTTGAACTGTGCAGCTCTGCTTTTGCTGCTTTTGTTTTAGCTGATCTAAGTATTCAGTGGGAAATGTTTGGCACACTCAGTGACTGAAAGGTCTGCTAAAGTATAGCCAGTAAACCGTAAAACCTTTTCTCTCCATAGGAAATGTTTTCCTATCTTTCAAGTGAAGTAAAGAAATTAGCAGAAGCCTACAATGAAAGACTGCTGGATACACCTCACAATCCTATCTCCTTAGGTAATTATAGTATGATGGGCAGTTGCATTTGTCAAGAAGAAAGATGTGGTGGGATAAAGCAATGGCTGTTTATATAGGGTCAGTTTCCTAACAGTTCTGTAGCTGCTTTTTTCTGATATGATGTGATTGCGGGTCCAAGCAGGTCCTACAGTATAATGTGAAGGAAAAGCAGCAATTAATACGCACATTGATTTGGAAATACAATGCAGGGAGGACATTATTTCAATACTGGATCAAGTTTATTGGATCCCAGTTTGCTCCTGTGTCCAATCCAAATTGCTGCTTTTTATTTTTGAAATCCTAAATTGCTGCGATCAAGTTATCATGTGAACCGCCCCCTCCCTTACAAACCTACCTGTTCACATTGGATGAGTTCCTGAGAACCTTTGTTGTGTAAGGTAAAACTGGTAATTAAGTTTGTGCAGGGCCTTTGGGGTCTTTGTACCCAGGCATAACCCCATTCTTCCTTATACATTGAGCCCTTCTCTCCTTGCCTTCCAGAAATGTGTGAACATTTTCGTTTTTGTAAAGCATATGAGGTGGGTGGTGAATGGGTATGTTTTGAAATGAACCTGATCCTTTATGTGGCTTTGATTTTCCATTTCTTTTTCATTTTTTTCTGCTACTATTCTTTCTATGGTATTTCATACTACACTGCTGTTTCAACTATTACCTGGCTGAGCTTATTTTTATTTCCCTCATCTCATTATCAACTTTTATAAACAATATGACAAACATATCAAGAAGTGTATGCATGATCACATTTATTATGAGTAAATCTGCATATACAGATATTTTAAGCATTATATTTTGTATATAGTTGTGCCCATTTAATCTAAAAGGTGTCTCCAGAGTGTCCCATAAGATTTTGGCAGAACATAGTCCATCTTTACTATGATTGATGTAATTGATAAAGCCAGACCACATACCATAAATACTTGTTTAGCTAACTTTTCATAACAGCTAGAGGCTGCAGGATTTGTTTCTATTTTTTCTCAAGAATTCCTGTCTAATTTCCAGTTTTCTGCAATGTCCAAGTATATTGTTACTCAGAAAAAGATTGTATGTTCTTCTGCGGTACATATTTGTTTGGAGTTTCAAAAATATGGAGGAGTTCAAAACTTGTGAACTTAGTAAGTTCCTAAAACAGTTTGGTCCACAAATGCATTACAACCTGAACATTCCCAATACATGCAGTAAAAGGGCCTTTGTCATTATGTCTTCTACAACAAATTGGACTTGCTGAGTGAGGTAACATATTTATGTAAGTTTGGGTGTCATCAGTTAATTTTTAGTGTTGTCTCTTTTATATTTGCACAAATTAATTTGAAGGGTATTTTTTCCAAATGGACTCCTAATGTAATGGACTCTGTGGGCAGTATCCATTACTGCCACTGTGCTTCTATCACTTCCATTGTGCTCTTGAATCCCAAGGCTTGCACCACAGGAACTAGAATATCTGACAATAATTCCAGAAATGAATAGAAATTAAACTCCTTTCTGCAAGCATCAGCAACCTTCCCTGTTTTAGAAATAGGCATTTTTCTTCTGATAGTTGCAGGATCTGCTAGCTTCTTAGGGCACTAGTGGTGGGTCCCGCAAATCCATTAGCAGCTTTGGATACTGCCCAATAGGTTAACTCTATCCTAACTCATATAGTAGCTTCAGCCCTTTATTTTCAGTTGCTTCTGTTGTCATAATTTTAATGAGTTTGGCATGCCGTTCCTTTTCAGTTAGTATTAAATTGTGGCAGAATCTTGCCAAACATCTTTTTATTATTAAGAGCCAGTGTGGTGTAGTGGTTAAGAGCATGGGACTGGGACTCAGACGATCTGGGTTCTAGTCCCCGCTCAGCCATGGAGCCAACTGGGTGACTTTGGGCCAGTCACAGACTCTCAGCCCAACCTACCTCACAGGGTTGTTGTTGTGGGGATAAGAGGGAGGAGGAGAATGATGTAAGCTGCCTTGAGTCCTTTGTAGGAAAAAGGCAGGATGTAAACTGAAAAATAAATAAATCTATCTATCTATCTTACTTGAATTTTAACATTTATTAGTTGCCTTGAATGTTTTTACGTGCAGAAAGGTGACATTAAAATATTTTAAAATATTGTGCAGAAACCTTGTGGTGAAGAACCACACATAACTTGCTCTCATTAATGATCTGCCAAGGTTCAGAAATAAAGTAAGCATCAGGAAACTTGGTGCTTTATCAACCCATATGTACAAGAGCTGAAAAGTCATAACAAGTGAACAGATTCCTTCCAAAAGTCTGCTACATCTTAAAATAACTGGTACATCAATTTGTTAATCTCTTTTAGGTTACCTTGCTATGTGGGATAGTACATAAACCAGTATAAGGACTTGGTTTGTAATTATACTTGGTTGTGAGCTATCTAGAGTGGAGGGCAAAACAATTTCTACATTTTCAAGTTTTAATTTGGGAAGGAATAAAATGCCAGCATTCCATATCTGTTTTAAAATTAACAGATCAGGTTGAGATACACATAACATGTCTCTGAACCATCTCTCTCTTCCTTTCTTTATCATAAGTTTCTCTCTCCCCAGTTCTGTTGGACTTAACCATGGTTAATGAATGCATCTGCACTGTTGTGAATGGTGATCAGCACTTCTTAGGTTCCTTCCTAATTAGAGTTTGCCAGTGAGCTGCAAACTCTGATTTCCATTCATGGTTAAAGCTAATCTGGGCTAGCACTCATAGTTAGCATTGATGCAGATGTAATATTGAACCATGCTGGAAGGGTGGGTGGAATTTGAATCAGGTGCACGAGAAGGGAGGGGAAAGGGTGCACAAGCCCATAGTTTGCTCTCAGTCTCTCAATTATAGGTTGAGAGAGTGGCACATTACATCTGCAGGGGTCATGCTGTATTAAAATCTGAAATGCTACAACTTTAAAAAGGTCTATTGTATTTACCTTTGATTTTTCATGTTTTCCCCAAAGGGCTTTATTTTAAATAACTTTTCCTAAACTTTGACTTGCCGCTGTAAAACCTGTCTTTTTTACTGTTGGAAATAATTTTATTATAATTTATGGCAACACAGCTACTTGCTTTTTCAGCAATGTCACTCAAAGAGCTAGATGATCAGACTGGTGCTGCCATTACCCAACTTGGATCGATGCTTTTCACCAGGCAAGTTTCTGGAGCAAGGTGAGTGTTTGCATTAACATCTTGGATTCAGGAATACATTGAGCTGCTTTTGATAACATGACAGCCTGCAGTGGATTGGTTAATTAACCTCTGTTTTTATGAATATCCAAGCCCTGGCCTGGGGTCACCAGAGCTTGTCATGTCATTTTGTGTGAACTCAAGTTGAGGGGGTTATTTGATGATTAAACAACCGCTGCAAAACCAATGGTCTGTTTTAGTGTATAACCTGCTACCCTGGTTTGCACAAAACAACAAACCCAACAACCTCTGGTTTGGGCTTGCATCTTCATAATATGGCCAGCACATGCTGCAGCTCCTTGTGGATAAATGAGCTCAAGCTGGGATGCCTTGTCATGCAAACTGGCCCCTAAAGCTAAAGTTCTATAAGCAATAGAAATCTCCAGATTGATCCCCAAAGAAGTGAGATCCCCACTGGTTTCAGTGGAACTCGTCCCCAACCTTAGTTGATTTTATTTGCTGCTAATTAGCCCTAGCTTGTTATAGTTAATTTGTTCTGTGTGTTTCCCAGAACAATTTGTGTGCTTAACTTAGTTTTGTTTCCTTTAGGGTGGTTTCTCCTGGGAGCCTGCAAACAGTGAGTGGCTATACATTCAAAGGCTTCATGTCCCATTCCAATGAGTATCACTGTGCATACCTCAATGCTGCTTCAGCTATTGGAGTGACAAAAGAAGATGTGGATGTGTTCTTAAAAAGACTTGATAAGTGTTTGAAGGCTCTGAGAAAAGGAAAGAATTATGAAAAAGATTCACCAGTAGTGAATGAAGAAGTTGTTCCTATTGTGGAAAAGTGCAATTTATCTGAAAGAGGCCTCAGCAATTAGATTATGGGAAACCTTTGCTGCTTATGATGTGCAAAGCTTTATCAGGGCTATATCATACAATGCAGTTAATGAGCAAACAAAAATAGATGTAAATGATCTGTGAGACATGCTTGCCCTGAGACTGAATGGGAGATGTGCAAGTGCACAGTTCTGCTATTGCATAGCTCTCACTCATTTTAATGGAACTTGTGCCAGAGACATTCCTGCTGGATTATACCTATAACAAGCATCTCAGATTTAGGATAATTTTAAACTAAATTTGTGTGTGTATGGAGTTAATACATGCCTTTCATACTGTGAAGGATTTCAATAAATTACCTTTAAACTATTGGTGAATGCCAAGACCTGCTTTTCAGGCTTAAATTGAGTAAATGATACTGTGTGAGTGAGTGAATGTGTGTGGGAGGGAGGAAGATGGTGGCATTCCAACAGGCAAAAAATCCAGTTTAGAAATTATAGCAGCTTGGTAAAGTAAGTAGCACTGCTTGGATGCTGTCCAATGTCGGAAGTACTGCAGCTTTGTTGTATTTTGATTTTTTTTAAATCATTCATTATAAACTCAATTCCCAAAATATTAACCTTGTAGCTTTTTCCTGCTATACATTCTGCCACAGTTGTATGTTCAGTTGTAACCTTTGAAGGGATTTTGTGGATAGTCAAAAATTGTATTATGTAACGTAACTCCAAATTTTGGGTGGCGTTGAGTTTTCTCACTTTATTTTCATTGTTACTAGCTAGCCTGGTTCAGCTCAGTGTTGTCATGGCATACCTGTGTGGTTATCATTTTACACATACCAGTCTCATGTACAAACAGCGCCCACACCATTTCAAGTGAACAGGACTTGACTGTTCTGTTTCGTTTCCAAAATGTTCTGCCTAATTCACTTGATATATTCAGCATACGCCAAGTGTGAACCTCCCTGAAATGAAAGTGAGCAGCACAAGAGCATAGTACTAGTATGCTTATGTGCAACCACCATTTCAGTGGGGCTTGAGCAGGAGAACTTTCTGATAGATTGTGCAGTCTTCTAGTAATCTGTATGCTTGCATTCCCATACAAGCAAATTATTGCTTTATGACGCACTTACGCAGTTGTAGTGTTCCCACCTTCCTGGAAGGACTAATGCAGATGCGATCTGGGAGGAAATGGAGTTGATTTTCCTTGAATAACCTGCCTGGTAGGAATAAGAATAGCTGCAATGGACTGTCTTACATTTGAGAGTCTTTGTTCATTCCAGTTGCTGTGATTGGGAATTGAGGTGGCATTAAGCAGGAAATGGAGACACATACTGGCCTCCAATTGAGCAGCAACACATGGAACAAACAGGGCTGTATGTCTCTTTCTGTAGATCGTGTGAGCTACAGAGCCTGTCCTAACAAAACAAAACAAGTCATTGTCTTCACTGGCCAGGTTCAGACATAACAAGCCATGGTAGAAACCACAGGCCAGCAACCATGGTCAAGTGTGGTAAGGTTGGTTTCCATGGAACCACACGGAGGAATAATGGTCAGTTCTATGGTTTCTACCCTTCACCATGGCTTATTTTTACATCTGAGCCCAGAAACCATGCTTCCATGTGGTTTCCATGGAACTTCCATAGTGTCCAATGCAAATAGTGACTGTGGCAGCCACTCCTACCTTTGCTTGCTGCCTTCCAGGTATGTCTACCAGCTCTGATTGGCTGCTCCCTGCTTTTTCTACACACTGTCTTTGGATGTCCACCTGCAGTTTCAGAATTTTGACAGTAGCAGGGCATCATGCTCTGGTACCTCCAGCAGCAGTGACCATGGGGACGGCCATGCCTGCCCCTCTTGCCTGGTCACTGCACTGTACTGGAGCAGTACTTGGTTGCCCTCTCTTCATGCACAGAAGCTCTGGTACCTTCCCAGGAAAGTTGCTGGAAAACTCTCCCAGTCAGATGCCCACATGCACTGTCTTGGGAAAGTGAGTCTGGCAGGACAGATTCCCTCTGTCCCTAGCATGGATGCCCACGTTGATGCCCCCAGTGTGCCAGGCTGAAGAGTGAGGCAGCCCCTGGCAGCATGTGCAAATCTTGCACACGGGAGTGTGGGCACATGTGCAGCAAGGGAGGGCAGGAGCGGTGGGTGTGCTTCTCTGTTGGTGAGAGCAGGGCAGCAACAAGGAGTGCTACTCTATTGGAGAACAACAGTGCTACTCTAGTGAGTGAGTGGTTGCTTTTCTGAGTTGACTGAGGTCATGCCCAGGGACCTGTGTGGGCCAGTGAGGGAGAAAAAGGCAATGCAGGCAGGAGCAGTGCCTGCTGGGATTGATTTCCAGCTATGGGGGCTGATGATAATGCAGGCACTATGTGAACTCAAATTTGAAACATTTCAGTACCAGTATCGCTTCATGAGATGTGTCTATCTTTGGCCTCTTGTTAAAGTCAAACATTTTTCAAACATTGTATTTTTTCCTTTTCCAACATAAGAGATTTTTACCCAATACCCTCAATTTTGTGTGTTTACATGCAAATTAGAGATATTCAAGTAGACTAGGCAACCCATTCAGGGGTCCACTGTCAGTTTTGTTTCTTTTATCATGCAGGGAACCACCTTTTAATGAAAGACTACAGGCAGAGTTAACTACAAACCCGAGATTATTGACTACTTTAAGGACTCAGTTTCAGGAATAGGTTCATCAGTGGGAATGTAAATGGTTTCAGTGAAGGAATTTCAGTTAATAGTGCATTGGATCCCTTAATGTGGCAGTGACTTCTAATATGGTAATTAAGTCTGTTGCTGCAATCCAGACTTAACTAGTGTTCTCCCCACTTCTGAGTAGACATTGGTATGGTAACATTTCATATCAAATTTGCATATTAGCCCTACAACATCTGTACAGGTAGAAATGGTAGCCATATTGTAAGGTATACCTTTACCTGTTTGCCTGTTCTTTTGTGATGATTTTAAATTACAGCTACTGCTTTCTGTTCCTTGGTTGATTGATGTAATACAGCCAAGATATTCTGTGACTGATAGCTAAATGAAACAGTTCTATCCATGGTAGCAGAGTTGTTATCATGTTAGTTAGTGGAACGTTTGTGTATCTTGTTTTGGTGAGCAAAAGACCTCTTCATCACAATCTGTGTGCATCTGTCTGTTGCAGACTAGCGTTTTTGTTATGTGGGATGTTATGGCTCACCCCACTACAGTATGTTATTTACTATCATCTTTCACTCACATACCATCTTTAGATGAGCACTGAAGTGAAGCATCAAGCTGTTAAGAAAGCATAGCCACAAACTGAGAAGTTTTGCCAATTGGGAATAAACCACTTCAACACTCAGTACAAGGTCATTATCAGTGCCTAAGAATTTTTGAACGCTTTAATTACTTTAACATGAATAATCAGGTTGGATTTGTAATAAATTTCATTAGACCTACAGTAACTAGTATCAATTGTTCTCAGGTAAATTTAAGTGGGCATGTGATCCTATTTGAATCAATTAAACTTAACTTTTGAGATTTTCTTGTGACTGTCTTTTATGCATGCACACCCACCCACCCACCCACACGCACACACTCTTACCTTGCCAGTCACCAAATACATTGCAGAATTTTGTGACTGTGTGTATAATTTGTGAGATGATTACTCAAAAGACCTCTTTGTTTAAACAAGCATGTCACCTTTTCAGGCCCAAGTTTAGGGTTCATTTGTAGCTTTATGGCAACTATAAGATGGGATGGGAATCTGGCGGGAGAGCATTTTACCTTTCAGTAGGTCGTGGTCAGTTTTCATTAAGAAGTCTCCAGTGCTTGTGGAACCCAAAATATGAGGCGGCATGTGCAGCTATTCTGTCCATTGTTTTCTGAGAAACTAGTCTGTTCCTGCCTTTCATGTTTTTAACAAATGAATGAAGTAATACCAATGATCCCCAGGCCCACCGTATGGAAAAGAAACATTCTGTTCATATTTGAACCCTGCTGGGAAGCAGTCTCATTGAAAATAAAAAAAGGAATCCAGAAGTTCAGTCAGCTTGAAATCGGCTTGAGGTGTATCTACCAAAAAATGAAAGATAGAAACAAAGACATACTCATTTTGATTTTGGAAACATTGAAAAAACAACCCTGATGATACATGAAGAAAAAGTTCAGCATTATACCGATACTGCACAACATAATCCTGTGGCTCCCCCACCCTGTTTTATTTACAGCCAAATACAGGTTCTCAACGCACAGTCGTCCTGATCTAGATTGTAACCTCTCCCATTCACTTTCAATTAAATAGAAACAACCCAGGGAGCATGTGCACACGCACACAGGGTGCCTACATTTCCACAAGGTAACAAGTAACCCTATGTGGTTACCAGGTTCTTTTACCATGATCTACCTGGCAATCAAGTGGTTTCTACTTTATCCTGGTTTCCATCCTTCCCATTCAGTCCTCCCACTGTTGGCATGTAGCTGGTCAGCCACTGTGCCTGACATCCTAAGGTGCATAATTCCCTGCCTATGTCACCTAGTTTTCATTAGTTCATATTTAGAAGCTGGATGGCTGGAGCAGCTCCTCCAGTTGCCACTCTTTCCAGAGGACTAGGTGGTAGTTGCATACCAGGATCGTGGAAACCACAATCCTGGTTCAAATGACTCAGCTACAGATAAACGTAGAACAAAGCATTGTTTCCTGCCATGGTTTCTAAGGACCAAACTTTCCACACTGAAATACTATGACTAGGTTCAGACAACTCAGACATTGTGTGATTTTTCAGTTGTGAAGAAAAGTTAGCAGTATTTTTAGTCAATGAGGCCTGTGTATGTGTATTGATTTCTGGGAGAAAAAACATGCTTCCAAACCTCTGTTTTTATTTTAAAAATGTGGAAAATTCTAAGTCTTACAGCTATGATGCTATATATTTATTTAGCACGTGCAATTTACTAAGCATTGGAAAGAGATTTTAAAAAAACAGGATAGTTGTTGCATGTCTAAAAGACAAAACACAGAAGGGGCAAAAAGGGAATAGGGAAAGAAGCAGACTGCATGCAAATTCAGAAACCAATTCTGAAAGTGCACGACTGTTCTTTAAAAAATAAGCTAGTTATTCCATGACTATAAATAGCTGAACAGGGGGGTGATTTTTGCAGTGGAGAAGGCAAAGATTATATCTGTTTTCATTTCAACAAAAACCAGGGACTCTCCCATTCCTGCAATTCTATTTTCATCCCAAGATAGCTGAAAAAAGATGTGCCTATCACTCCTAGTTTGGACCTGAGTTTATAGTGAACAACAGAACTGGGACTGTAGCATGCTCCCTGAAGAAATATAAACCAATGCAAAACATTGTGCATGCATCTTACTGCTTTCAGGAAGTTATTGTCACACAGAACATCAAGAAGAAATAAAAACTACCAAATGCAGCAAACTGCCTTGTGTTAGGGGAAGCAAAAAGCTGCAAATGTAAAGGGTTGGCACGGCAGCTTAACATATGCAAGACAAGAGATCTATACTGTGTGATCATCAGTTTTTGTAAGAAGGGCCAGAGCCCAGATGCTTACCAAATGCTTTCCCTTGTATCAGCAATTCTTGTTTGGGTTGCTATGTATTTTTATCCTATTTTCAGTAATTGATACATGTTCTAGAAAATGGGAGCTGCATTCACTAGTGTGACTTACATAATTTGTCAGGTATTGACAGCCAAAACGTATCATGACTCGGAAAAGTGAGTGACAGTAAAAGCAACCCAAGAAAGTCTTTTTTGCTACCATCTTTTCCCCTGGCCAGATTTGCTATGTCCTACTCACAGCCAATCGGATGAAGCCCCTGCTTCTCTCAGGATCATGCTAACCTGCCACATACTGTCCTAGGCCACCCAGGCTCCATCTTCTAACATACAAAGAATGCCAGTATTTTTGGAACTCAACAGCTGTCAAACAAAATTGTGGCCTGTTTTTCCTTAGGTGTAACCCTAGTAGGCAGGTGCCTTTTTCCATACTGTATGCCAATCATCTTGTCATTTCAGTTTAGCCTTTCGATTCACTGACATTCGGAGTTCCATGCATTGACACGTTAGAGTTCATCTCTCACTCTCCCATCACTGTTTGGGATTATGGAACAGATTGCACTTCTGACCGTGGGAGACTGATAGGGAGCTTACGTTCAAGGCTAGTGTACACTTAATAAGAAATACAGGGAGTTGTGGCCTGGGTGCATTCGGCTGACAAGTCACCAACCTCTTGGTAGGAGAAAGTTCCTGTTAATTTTCAGAACAGTTAAAAAAAATGCTAGCGACCTTGATATGGTGACCACAGCACCTGTTTTCCCCTGATAGGATCATTATTATCTTTTTCTTCTCTGCAGTATTTCTGTCTAGAGTAAGCAAATTCTCTTAAATACTGCCTAGGAATCAGATGGCTGGAATGCTGACCTGTATTTCTTGAGTGAAAAAAAACCCACCCTGCATTAAAGAGCCAAATGGAACATATCACTTCAGGGAGAGAGAGAAAATAAACAATCTTAGAAAAGCACTTTCTTTCTCAATTACTGAAATGGAACAGCTTAACTGACCATCAACTGGCTTTCCAGATGTCATCGTGTTACTCCCACATCCATCTATCTGTCAGTCCTACCAGAAGTGTGCAAGCCAACTATGTATTAATCTGAGTCAAGAGATAATGACTGTGAATACACCAGAGCCTGTGAAATAAATATTTTAGGAAAGTAAAGCCAGATTTGTCATTAATGCCAAATGTTCTTACTTTGGTTGCCAAGTCTTTCACTTGGCAGGCCTCTTGCGCCTTTACAAGGTGTGTGACAAGCTGAAATTGAGCCAGTGAAATTTCCCCCGGTATGTAGATGCAACCTTGTAAAAAGCTTTACCTGCTGAAATTCTGCTTGTTGAAGGCAGAGGAGCTGTGTCAGAAAAAAGGTTGGCATCCCTATTTATGTAAGCTGTCCTGAGGTTCTGTGAAAGGACGGCATATAAATATTCTAAATAAATAAATAATTTTTTCCAGCTGTTGTAGTTGTTGTGCTTGCGCCTCTTACACTAAAATGACAAATCACCTCTCAACAAAGTCCAGTCCAGTCTCATGCTTTTTAATAGACTTGAAGGGATTGATTTGAAAAATAGGGTAATTCAGACTCTTGACTCATCTCTGTTTCATTTGTGATCAATTCTGTTTGGCATAGTCCTCTTTGGAATGCAGAATAGGTTCCCAAATAACCGTACAGTGACCTGACGCAAGAGAAAGAGCAAAGGTGTTCCGTATTTAGTGTTTAATCTTAGCCAATAAGAGGGAAAATATACAGGCACCTGTTGTGGTTGCTGGGAGATCGGAGCCAATTAGGCCAGCCAAAGCCATCCTGAAGGAGCCTCATTCATTGTCAGCAGTGTGCAACTGGACGTGAAATGCAAAGCATATGACTGTGTTGCCGTTAGATTTCCATTGGCCTAATGTGCTTCCCATCCCAATTCAGAGTCCTGACTAGTGAATGCTTTTAAAGGCTTTAGTTGGTCTGGAACCAGGATACTGAAGGGGCCTTCTGCTCCCATATGATAGAGTATGCTCTTGAGATCTGTCTGAGAGGTTGTGCATGGTGGCGTCCACCACTATTGGAAATGTGGGTGATAAGAGGAAAAGGACCTTCTCTGTCATGATGCCTCTGTGCCGGAAAGCACTGCCCTGGAAAACAGATCTCTACTAACTTCCCTTGAATACTGGTGAAAACCATCTTGTATGGATGAGCCTTAAATGCAGATGAATTTGTTTCCCCTGACTGGTCAATGTTACTGGGATCTTTTACTGATTGTACTTTTTGTGCTATCATTCTGTTCCTTCTAATGTTGTTTTTATTCTCTTTTTAACATGATTGTATGCATATTTGGAAGGTAAAACTGTAGGTAAACTGTAAACATAACATTAAAATCCTGGTACATTTTGATGCATTTTGACTTTCATTGGATTTGTTACATCTGAAAGTTCTAAATGCATAGACAAGGCCCTTAAGTTTTAGTGGTTTTCTTCTTCAGTCTGTGATCTTTCTCTTCATAGGACAGAAATATAATTATGGAAGATCACCTATGTGAAACACACTTGAATTTCATGTTGTTATTTTAATTGCTCAACAATAAATGGTAAGCTGTCATCGACTCCCTGTATATGCTAATTTAAATGGCTTGATGTGAATTTAGAAATAATTATTATAATTTAAATAGAAATAGAGAATATGTCGCCATACTGTGGAACATGGTGACAACTTGCTGTCCAGATATCGAGTGCTGATTGACAGCAATTCTTATGGTTTATCCTCTTTCAAGTGGAATTGGGTAGGACAACCCTTCAGATACAGGTTGGTTTTCTGGCAGCCTTTCAAATCAAGGACTGTCCCTGGTAAAAGAGGACACCTGGCCATCCTAAAATACCACAGAGGCTGCCATGCTGTCCAAGAAGTCTCTGAGGCATTCTTAATTCCCATTTTAAGCTTGCTATTTGCATGCCACCTTTCTCTCAAGGTAGATAACAATAGTACT